GGCTCAGTGGATAGAGCATTGGCCTGGGGCCCAAAGGGTCCAGGGGTTCAATTCTGGTCAAGGGCACATACCTTGCTTGTAGGCTCCTCCCTGGCCAGGGCCCTGGTTGGAGTTCATGTGGGAGGCAACCAGTTGATGTGTTTCTCTCACATTGATACTTCTCTGTCTTTCCCTCTCTCTTCCACTCTCTCTAAAAATCAATGGAAATATATCCTCGGGTGAGGATTAAAAAATAATAATAAAGAAAAAGTTACTAAAAACAAAACAAAAAACCCAGAATAGATGTTTTTATAAATCCTTCTTCATTCAACATTCACTTACATTGCCCATGCATTATTACTTTCCTTGTTCTTTTTTTTTTTTTAAATATATTTTATTGATTTTTTTTTTTTTTACAGAGAGGAAGGGAGAGAGATAGAGAGTTAGAAACATCGACCAGCTGCCTCCTGCACACCCCCTACCAGGGATGTGCCCGCAACCAAGGTACATGTCCTTGACCGGAATCGAACCCGGGACCTTTCCGCAGACCGACGCTCTACCACTGAGCTAAACCGGTTTCGGCTACTTTCCTTGTTCTTTATTCCTTCTAGGTTTTTATTCTTCTAAGATCATTTTCCTCCTGAATACATCCTTTAGAATTTCCATTAGTTCAGTCTATTGGTGATAAACTCTTTTAGATTTATTTGTCTAAAATTATATTTATAATGAACAACATAAACTGATGAACAAAAACAGAATCAGAGATAGAGAAGCATCAATCCAATCATCAAACCTCAAAGGGAAGACAGGGAAGAGTGTGAGGGAAGGGGATAAATCAACCAAAGGACTTGTATGCATGTATATAAGCCTAACCAATCGACACAGGCACTAGGGGTAAAGGCACAAGTGGGAGGAGCAATGGGGAGATAAGGGCACATGTGTAATACCTTAATGCAGTGGTCGGCAAACTGCAGCTCGCGAGCCACATGCGGCTCTTTGGCCCCTTGAGTGTGGCTCTTCCACAAAATACCTTGGCCTGGGGGAGTTTATTTTGAAGAAGTGGTATTAGAAGAAGTTTAAGTTTTAAAATTTTGGCTCTCAAAAGAAATTTCTATCGTTGTACTGTTGATATTTGGCTCTGTTGACTAATGAGTTTGCTGACCGCTGCTTTAATAAATAAAGAGAAAAAGTGTGGTTATTACAGGGGTAGAGGAGGATGGGTGGAGGTAGTATAGGGCATAGAGTGGATAAAAGGTGATGAAAAAAATTTAATTTAAAATTTGAAAAAAATATATTTGTTTCACTCTCTTGTTGAATATTTTCATGAAAGATGCTGTCCTTGGGTTATGAGGTTAGTGTGGCCAGGATCTCCCATAAGTATCCCCATCTGGGTTCTGGCTTCCAATGAGCCTAAGCCCTAGTGTGAAGAGCCTGCAAGGCCTCAGCTCCTTCAGTCAGAGAACAATTTCTATCTCATTAGGATTGCCAGAGATGCTTAAAAGAGATAACGGATGGAAAATTCCTGACACAGAGGAGTAAGGCAACCAAAGCTAGCTATTTGTGATTCAACTGAAAGCTTTAATTTCTAAACTTCAGATTTTTAAGGTGACTAAGTGAAAATGAGGAGGTTAGGTGGGTTCTAATCCAGTCTGACTGGGGTGCTTATAAGAAGAGGAAATTTAGACATCAGGAGTGGGCACACAGAGGAAAGACCTTGTAAAGAGACAGCAAGAGGGTGGCTATCTGCAAGCCAAGGAGAGATGCCCCAGAAGAAACCAGTCCTGTAGGCAACTTTAACTGGATACTAGCCTCCAGAACTTCAAAAAAAGTAATTCCTATTGTTTAAGCCCCCACAGTCTATGGTACTTTGTCATGGCAGCCCGACCTAAGACATGGAGCCACATGGCCCATTCACCCCAAACAACTCTGCGTAGTGTTTTCATTGAGTTGTTCCTTGTCTGGGTTTATTAATGCCAAGTCCAGCACAGGCAAAGTTTTTTAAGAGCTCAACGAATAACCACCTAGAAACTTATCCTTGAACCAGTAAATGGAAGACCTATATTATGGCAGAAAACTGTAGTTCAGAGCTCTAGTAAAACTGTGTTTAATTTCTCAAACTCTTTCCTCAAGTACAAATTGAAGGAGGAATATACTAATGAAGAAATATCACAGGGGATTGGTTTTTAACAATTATCGAGCCACTGACCCATTTTAAAATTGACAAAGCTATGGATTCAGAAAAATGCAATTTGCATTAGTTTCCTTTTGCTGCAGTGACAAATTACCACAAACTTGGTGTCTGGAAAAAAGAGACATTTGTTTTTTCAAAGTTCTGGAGACCAGAAGTTAAATATCAGTTCCTCTGTACTGAATTGAAGGTGTGGGCAGAGTTGTACTTTGCTTCTTGCCTCTTATGGTTTCTGGTGGTTGTCAGCATTCCTTTGCTTGTGGCCACACCGCTCCATTCTCTGCCTCTGTCTTCACATCCCTTTCTCCTTTTCTGTGTGTCAGCTCTCTTGTACTCTTTATAACGACACCTGTGATTGCATTTAGGGCCCATTCAGATAATCCAGGAAATCTCTCCATGTCCAAATCCTCAGTCACATCTGTCAAGGCTCTTTTACTTTATAAGGTGACATTTACAGGTTCCAGGGATTAGGACTTGATATATTTAGGTGGCCATTATTCAGCCTCCTACAGATTCCAAACTCTTCCCATACAACTTCAGGAAGATCATGGACACAGGTAAGAACATATGTTCTAGAGATGCATTTCACCACAGATATACTATGAACAGATACATTGGAGACAGGTGCATTTACTCACCATCTTCTATACACCTCAGGATCAACTACAGTGGTGGTTAAAAACCTAAAATCTAAAATCATACCCCATTCCTTTGCATCCCCTCATCTCATCAGAATCCCCCAGAAGCCAGATCCAGTAATCTACACTTCTAACAAGCTCCCCCAAATTATTCTGTTGCAGTCAGCCTTGTACCCATAGTTTAGTGAGTAATTGGTTAACAGCTTGGGTGCCTAAGTCCTCTCGCTGTTAACTGGACATATAGCCACATCTTCACAGTAAAAGATGTCTGTGCAAGCCTATTTGCATTAAGAAAACTCTAGTGTTCTTACAGTTACCCCCCTTCCCACCACACAAAGGTGAAGTACTTCTATTATTTATTTGTTTTCGATTCCACATTGTGTTTAATGCACTTGCCCTCAAGACACGGAATTTAGTCAAGGGAGAAAGAGGGAGAAAGGAAGAGTAGCAAATTTGCAGTCCATGCAACCAAACTGCACTTGAAGCCCAGCAGACTTGCGGCCCAGTGCCTTGTAACCACCCCCACCCCCACCCCCACTTCCTGCTGCGGTATACTTTGCCTAGGATGGAGGTTGTGCTTGGAGTAGTACACCCCACCAACACACACACACACACACACACACACACACACACACACACACACACACGCTTCTTTGATTGGCCTGGCCAGCCCGTGCGTCATGCTCTTTTGTCTCAGAGGACTGAGGATAAAAGCAGCTGCTGCTGCCCTGGGAACCATGCTGACCGAAATATACTTCCCCTAGCCGGGTGGCAGTGCAGAACAGTTCAGTTCCAGTAGCCCCGAGTAGCTTAGCGACCCAAGAAGCGTCCATCCTTTCCCACTGCAGGGCCACAGAGGCCAAAGCCTACATCCAGAGCTGTCTGCCCACTGTCCACCCGCGGAACATAGGTAAATAAAGGGGGCGCGATTGCCTGGAGGGGAAAGAGGAGGGAAAGTCACACTGGGAATGGGTGGCTCCCCGCCTGGAAAATCCAGAACTAGGAGGCTGGGCAAGGATCATTCAAGGCCTGCTGCGCTGAGGGAGGAGGTGGGGTGCCACGGAATGCTATTAGTGGATAGGGTTTGCCTGTATTGAGAAGGGGGAGTTTTCAGAGAGGTTGGGGAGGCAAGGAAAGAGAATCGCAAGCTCTATCTTGCATCTCCTCATCTCATCCTGGTGAGGGATATATGGGTGTGCCTGTGCATGTCCAACTCCTATTCCCTTTCTCAGTGGCAGGCCATCTAAGAGGAATCTGGACTTGAATTCTGTGCGGCTGATTGCAGAGTTGGTAGGCCGAAGACTTACAAGGGGAACTGTAATTGGACGGGGCAGGGTCGCTTTGGCTTGTATTCAAATGGCCAGCTTGGCTACAGTGGAGGGAGCAAAGGGTGTGGGATGAGAAGGGAGGAAGCAGGATGAGGGATGGGGCTGTTTCTGACCCTTCCTTTCCCTGCCCTTCCTGACAAAGGCTCAGTCTTGAAGCCCAGAAGTCCGGGATCAGGAACCCCCAGTGGACAAAGATCGACTGTACCTGGAGACAAGCTTTCTCATGGAGGCCACCAGTTGCAGAGGCTGATAGTGAAATAAAGGCGCACGCTTGTTCCTGAGCTCCTGTAAGAATCTGAGGGATAAAGGGTGGGGAGAGAGGCACTTTGAGAGGGAATGTGGTTGAGACCTGAGACCATGAGGTAAATGAGATCTGACCACTGTGCTCTATTTTGAGAGCCCAACATCAGCTCCATACACGATTACACTTAGAATTAGAAGCAACAGTTGCTGTTGCTCTTGAAAGACTGGAGGAATGGATGTGGCTGTCCAAAGCTCCCCGCTAACTGGGAGACACCGGCTGGCTCCCTGAGGTTGTAACTGCCAGTCTCCTGGAGGATATTTTTAGGACAGCAGGCAGATGGCAGATATAAAATGTACTGAGGATATTCAGGAAGGGAGAGAAAACAGCTGCAGCCCTATTAATCTCCTCTTACACACCCCTCCTGGTTTTTCTTCTCCTTCTTCTTCTTCTTCTTCTTCTTCTTCTTCTTCTTCTTCTTCTTCTTCTTCTTCTTCTTCTTCTTCTTCTTCTTCTTCTTCTTTTTTACAGGAGGAAGACAGAGGCTCCCGGCACACCTGCAGATTAGTCTCTTCCAAAAAGCCCAAACATCTTGATAATATTCAGATACCCGATCATCATCTGTCATGGCTAGCATCATTTCACACATGGGTAATAGCCGGCGGCAGAACACACGCTTGCCGCCTTGGGCCCATTCTATGCTGAGGTCCCTGGGTAGGAGTCTTGGTCCTTTAATGGCCAATTTGGCAGAAAGAAACATGAAGTTGTTCTCAGGGAGGGGGGTGCCAGCCCAGGGGGAAGAAACCTTTGAAAACTGGCTAATCCAAGTCAATGGGGTCCTGCCAGAGTGGAATATGTCTGAAGAAGAAAAGCTCAAGCGCCTGATGAAAACCCTTAGGGGCCCTGCCCGGGAGGTCATGCATTTGCTCCAGGCAGCCAACCCCAACCTAAGTGTGGCAGATTTCTTGCACGCAATGAAATTGGTGTTTGGGGAGACTGAAACCAATGTGAGTTCCCATGGTAAATTTTTTAACACCGTGCAGGCCCAAGGGGAGAAAGCCTCCCTGTATGTGATCCGTTTAGAGGTGCAGCTCCAGAATGCTATTCAGGCAGGGATCATAGCTGCGAAAGATGCAAACCAGACTCGCCTGCACCAGCTCCTTTTAGGGGCTGAGCTGAATGGGGACCTGCGTTACAGACTGAAGCATCTTCTCAGGATGTATGCGAATGAGCAGGAGCGTCTTCCCAATTTTCTGGAGTTAATCAAGATGATAAGGGAGGAGGAGGATTGGGATGACACTTTTATTAATCATAAGCGGGCCAGGAGATCTGAGTCAATGGTGGAGAGGGCAACCAATCCAGTGACATTTCAGGGATCCCTACGGATAGTAATCGGCAGTGCTGACTGCAACGTGATAGAGATAGATGACACCCTGGATGACTCAGATGAAGATGTCATCCTGGTGGAATCGCAGGACCCTCCACTTTCATCCTCTGGTTCTCCTCCCCCCAAAAGCAGAACCAGACCTCAGGATCAAGTGGTAGTCATTGATTCCCCCAATAGTTCCCAGGCTCAATCTCCTTCCACCAGTGGGGGTTCTGGAGATAAAAATGATGGTCCTGGGAATATTTTTAGATCCAGGAAGCGAAAATACACAACCCATTCTTCATATTGTGGCAAGGAAGACCACTCGAAGGAAACCTGTGACAAGAGCAACAAGGCTGAGATGTTTGAAAATCTGGTCATGACCCTGCAGGAGCTGACACATACAAAAGAGGAGGGGTCAAGAGAGGCTCCTGACCAATCTGATGACCCTTCTGAGCTATAGTGAGGTGCTAGCCTTAAATGAACCCTTAAGCTATATTCAGAGCCTAGTGATAGGAAAACTGAGGGAGGGGGTCTCTAATTGCATGAATTAATCCCCATAGCAGCTTTTTTCAGGGTTCAGGAGAAAGGGTCTTGGATACAAGCACAATGGAGAAAGATGGCCTGTCCTCTGTCCTTGCTCCCCACCCCCACCTCTGCTGCCTAAGGGTCTGTTTTCTGTGTGTGCTCATTTCCTTGATGGCTTTATTCTCTTTGTGAAAGTGATATAATTCACTGTTAAATCTTCAAACAACAAAAAAGTACAAAAAGTCAAGTACAAATTAGTCCAAATCTTCTACCCTTATATAACCATTGTCAACCCTTTGATGACTATCCTTCTAGATATTTCCATATACCTATAGTATGTATTCAGATAGATTTATGTACAAATAAAAGTGTCAAATATTAGTGCTGTTCTATAGTCTGTATTTTTTCACCAGACAATTTGTTGTGGGCTTCTTTCTATGTCAATAAATATATATCAGCATCTATTTTAATGTCTCTGTGGTATTATTCTAAGAAGTAAAGGAAAAGGAAATAAGAGAAATATGGTAAAAGCTATAAAGGGGTTTTTAGCAATCTCATTTTGCAGGCACAGCAAAGGGAAGAAGAAATAAGCTGAAATATTCCCCAAAGGTAAATAGAGACTCCTTCTACAATTGACTTGTCCCTTAGATCAGAGCTAAACTATGGCACCCACTAGTTGACAATGCTTCAATGATTTCTGTAATGTATCCAGAGGAGTCTTATGGCCGGGGAGTCTGGTCTAGAGGCTTCGATCCTTGTTCCTTTGAGGAGGGGCAGCTCTTCCTCTTTTGGGTGGATTTCTTAGATTACTGCTGCTGCTCCTAGCTAACATCATGGTCACAACCAGCAATCTCTCCTGTCAGCTGAAACCTGCCTGTTCCCAAATCCCAGTTAAAGAAAGGAGAGAACAGTTACTAATAGGAGCCCAGCACCCGTGGTTCAGCTGAGAGCATTGGACTGAGCCTCACTTCCTAGGCTCTGAGGCTAAATGCCAGAAGACAAAGGCAGCTCAGGACTCCAAGCTAACCCCACACCAATCTGAGGATTGAGAATGGCTGGAGAGGGATGGAAAGCAATCTAGTGGCTAGGATCCATGAGGGAACATGGGGATCAGAAAGCCATGCCATTTTAGCAGAGTGAAGGGCATTCATGGAGCAGGGAGGAAGTGAGGGACCTTCGGAGGAACATGCTTTGTCCTCTCTCCTGATCTCATATTGGAGTGTGATAAAAAATAAAAAAGACAGGACATGTGTGACTTCAGGCCCCAAGGGTCCCTATGTCTCTTGTAGGTGCATATGTCCCTACTTTGTGAGCAGGACAAGGCTGGTTGTGTGTGAATGATTGCATTTAAGGCAGGGTGTGGGGAGTGAATTGAATGCACAAACTTGAGGAGTGGAAAGAGTTTGTCATGCAAGAAATTGGTGCTCCATGCTGAAACCGGTTTGGCTCAGTGGATAGAGTGTTGGCCTGCAGACTGAAAGGTCCTGGGTTCGATTCCAGTCAAGGGCACATACCTTGGTTGCGGGCACATTCCCAGTGGGGGGGATGCAAGAGGCAGCTGGTCGATGTTTCTCTCTCATCGATGTTTCTGACTCTATCCCTCTCAATTCCTCTCTGTAAAAAAATCAACAAAATATATATTTTTAAAAAAGAATATAAAAAAAAAGAAATTGGTGCTCCACAGAGCTGAGAGGACAGAGTGTGCAGCAGTGGGAGATGATGCCTCAGGGGAGAAGCACATAGCTGTGTGGGTCAGGAGAAAGCGTTTGAGGTTACATGGAGGTTGACAGTGACAGGAAGCCTGGTAGGAAACATAGATTCCAGGGTTTCATATAGAACTCTGGGCTATGTTGTATCAGGAATGGCACAGGTTGAGGAGCCCAGGAAGAGGTATTGGGGTTCTAATTATACTAGCAGTTGCTGGGACACTCAGAGGGATAAAGGGACTCTGAATGGGTTAGGGGCTGAAGCCAGTCACTGTAGAAAGTCAGTGCAGGCCTGTCTGGGCTGCCATGACAAGAACCTACCTTGAAGCATTTCTCTTTCCAGAAACAGCTCCTTAGGTCCTCCCTGGGTTCTTGCTCCTGCTCCATCAATGACCCCACAATCTGATCTTAGGACTTCCCACATCCAGCCATACTCATCTCTTGGTAGAGGGTGGTGGAGGCCCTGTCTCTGGGCACTGCCATTACTTTCCCCACCACACACTCCATGTTTTCCTTAAGATTCAGCATTCTCATCCTGGCTGGCTTGGCTCAGTGGATAGAGCGTCAACCTTCAGACTGAATGTTTCTGGTTTGATTCCAGTCAAGGGCACATGCCTGGGTTACAGGCTCAATCCCTAGTGTGAGGTGTGCAGGAGGCAGCTTGATCAATGATTTTCTCTCATGATTAATGTTTCTATCTCTCTCTCCCTCTCCTGTCCTCTCTGAAAGCAATAAAAAATATTTTTTAAAATTCAGCATTCTTAATTCTCAGGGCCAGAGGGAGTCTGGGAGGGGCCCTTTAGCTGAGAACTGGCCAGTAACCAGCCACTCCTTGCAAATCTTGGGGCATCTCTGGGACCCTGTCAGCCACCACCATCTCTCAAGAGCCAAAGGGGATCATTTCATCACCCCCAGGCAAGAGGCAGATCCACTCAGGCTTCTTCAGGGGCTCCAACATTTCCCAGCAAGTATTTGCTCAAATATCGCCTTCTCAGTAAGACTGACCCTGCACAGCCCATTAAAACTGCCTACTTAGCCTTGGCTGGTTTGGCCCAGTGGATATAGTGTTGACCTGGGGACTGAAGGGCCCCAGGTTTGATTCCAGTCAAGGCACATGCCTGGGTTGCCAGCTCAGTCCCCAGTAGGGTACATGCAGAAGGCAGCCAATCAATGATTCTTATCATTGATGTTTCAATATCTCTCTCTCCCTCTTACTTCCTCTCCGAAATCAATAAAAAATATTAAAAATTAAATAAGAATAAAACTGTATACCTAGCCACTAGCACTCCCATTCCTCCTTTCCTGCTCTATTTTTTTCCATCATGTGTATCATCTATTATACTACACTAGAGGCCTGGTGCATGAAATTCATGCACTCAGGGGATCCCTCAGCTTGGCTTGTACCCTCTTGCAGTCCAGGGAGAGCGGGCCTAAGCCAGCAGTAGGACAGCCCTAGAGCTGCTGAGGAGGCAGAAGAGGCTTCTGCCACTGCCACTGTACTTGCCAGCTGTGAGCCTGGTTTCTGGCTGAGTGGCACTCCCCCTTTGGGACTGGGCTGAAACCACCTCCCTGATTGTGAGAAGGTGCAGGCCAGGTCAAGGGACCCTAATGCTGTACAATTGGGGCCAGGGAGGAATGCAGAAGGTTGGCCAGCGAAGGAGAGATAGCAGGGGGGACTCCTTGGCATATACAGTCCATCTAGCTCAGTCCCAATCAGCTTGAGCCCAGCAGTAAGCTAACCTACTGGTTGGAGCTTCTGCCCCCAGTGGTCAGTGCATGTCATAGCCAGCGGTTGAGTGGGCTTAGCATATCATTAGCATATTACACTTTGATTGGTTGAATGGCTGAACAGTCCACCAGACACTTAGCATATTAGGTTTTTATTACATACAATTAGGGGCCCAGTGCATGAATTCATGTACCTTGAAGGGAACTGTGGGCTGCAAGGTTGTGATGGGCACAGGACTGGGTCTCAGTCCATCCTCCATGCCCCACCTGGCCCCTCTCGCAGTGGTCCCTGGTTCCCTGTTTGCCAGCAGCCCTGTTCTTGCTGCTGCTGCTCCCATGTGCTGACAGCACTGTCCCCACTTGCACTCGTTGATAGTGTGGAGCAATTGGGGCCAGCACCAGTAGCAGGTGCGAGCAGTGGCTGCTGCCCTGATTATACCTCAGGAGCAGGGGGAGGTGGAGAAGCCTTCAGAGGCGATTGGGGTGAGCAGCCACTGCTCACATCTGCTGACAGTGCCAAGTGATTGGGGCTGGTGTCAGGCCCTGCCAGCGGGTGCGAGCAGGGCTGGTGCTGGCAGCAGGTGTGAGTGCCCAATGGGACTGCAGCACGTCGGAGCAAAGAATTTTCAGTAACCACTGGAGGTTCACCCAGATTACAGCGACTGGCACCCTGCATTGGGCTGGTGTCCCCGCTCACCTGCTCCACTATCTCGCCATGGCCGATGCCTGCCATGTTTCATCCATGCCCTCTGGTGGTCAGCACACATCATAATGATTGGTTGTTCTGTCTGCTGTTCGGTCTACTTGCATATTAGGGTTTTATATAGAGAGATAATTTATTGATTTATTATATCGTTTGTATCTCTCCCTACCAGAACACAATCTCAACAGAGGCAGACATTTTAGTCTTACCAGTTCCTCTTTGGTTCCCCAGCTTCTAGAGCACTGTATAGAACATAAGTTGGCTCTGAATAAATGTTTGTGGCTGGAATGAATGAAGTGCCTGCTGCATAGTAGGCAAACGGCAGCCTTCATTATCGCTGCTCTCCTGGAACAGGTGCTGCTAGAGAGGAAATAGTTAATGAGAAAGCAGTTCACAATGCTGAACCACCATCCACCTAGCTGATGAGATCAGAAACCTGGGAGACATTATAGATCAACTAGAGGCCCGGTGCACAAAATTAGTGCACAGGGGTCTGTGTCCCTCAGGCTAGACTGCACCCTTTCCAATCTGGACTGCTGGCTCCCAACCGCTTGCCTGTCTGCCTGCCTGATTTCCCCTAACCACTTCTGGCTGCCAGCCTGATCATCCCCTAACCACTCCCCTGCCAGCCTGATCAATCTAACTGCTCCCCTGCCAGCCCAATTGCCCCTAACTGCCCTCCCCTGCCAGCCTGGTCACTCCTAACTATCCTCCCCTGCAGGCCTGGTTGCCCCCAACTGCTCTCCCCTGCAGACCTGATCACCCACAACTGCCCTCCCTTGCTGACCATTTTGTGGT